CTGTTCCTTGGGCTGTCCAGGCTTTGGGAAAGATGAGCTCATTCATGCTCTTCATATTGAAATGCACATTTGAGAAAAGTCCGGAGTAGGCAAGCAGTGGGTCTACATTTTAATATTAATGTATTTACTTGTGATCTGATCCCAAGAATCCATTCATTTGGAAATTACCAAAAATCCAGCTTAACCAGAGATATTCTGAACATTTAGAATTTGCTGCTTTGAAGTGGTGGTACTAATAGAATGTTTTATCCAGTACGTCCTGCTTATTAATGGAGATATTTCTCTCCATGTAACAACTGCTAACCTCCAGGTCTACATGATGCCATTCATTTGTTTATTTATTCAGTTACTCCACAAATACTCCCTAATGCCTATTGTGTCCGCAAAGGTAGTTTGTTAGCCTCCAGGGATTCAGGGATAGAATCAATACCAGCTCCCTACTTAAAAGTTGATTCCAGTGGTAAGGAGGGGATAGATAAACTATAATGCAGTATGAATACTGTAATAGAGGTCCACACAAAATACCATTCGATAAGGCTTACATATGTTCCTTTCACCAGTGTTTAATTCAATCATTATTATTAGAAAATACTAGCATTTTACTTCAGTACCTATGCAGTATAACATAGAGGAATGAAATGTCTTTTAAACTACCCTGTAAGTCAGCATACAATTTTTTATTTGTATGATTTTTTTCAATCTAGTGATAATCATAAATGTAGTTTATCAGGAAATTTCTATGACCTTTCTCTAAACAAGTAAGGCTATAGATATATCTCTAAATGATCAATACTTGTTTTAACTGATCCCTAATGCAAATTCAGTTTGGCAACAATACTTCATTCCAGTTAATTTTTTAGTTCATCATTTTAATTAAGTTTCGCCTTCTTTCAGCCTTCAGCCTTATTGGTAACTGTTACTTTTCAGCAATTTCAGAGAGATTACATTCTAAAATAATTTTTAAAATCTTCCCTGTAAGTGGCCATGAGCCTTACACACAGTAGATTTCATACTTCTGTGTGATTAGAGGGACCAAATATGAAACCTTTAAGCAACCAAAATCCCCCCACAAACCAGTAGAACCTTTATCTATAGATCTCTTTAAAATTAAACCCATGCCTTAAAGCCAAGTCATATAGATTAGGGGGATGGTAGTTTGGTCAAAATATTACCTACTCAAAAATATAAATGACAGCATTTTGCTTGCAATCCCAGAGTAAGGTTTTGCATATCCATTTTGAATAACTTTAGTGAAGTTAAGTGATTTGAAATTGAATGCAGTGGGGTAAGCTGGTGAGACAGCTCAAAGCTATTGCAGGTCAAGGAAATCATGGAAAGTGGAGTCATCTCTCTTTCAATCCCTTTCATGGTAGACGCCAGCACCATTGCGCTCAGAGTCGGGCTGCATCTTGTTATATGTATAGAAGTTTTAAAATCAATTTGATTTTCACTGGTATGATTCTCTAGTGTACTTAATATGCTATGGACGGATTTCTGAGAATAGTAAGAAGCAGTTACACTTCTCATGAATATATAGCAGATGAGGCACTGTGATTTATTATTCCATTCTATTTCAGAACATGCTTATGATTTT